GGGGAATAAACGGAGGAGTGAGAGGACTGCAAGAACTAACCAATGCTTGCTCTGGTATCAGGGAAATCAGTGTAGAACATTCACATAAAACCCTATCTGGTGCCATGCTTATAAACTAGTTTTCTCACGGTCTAAAGTGCGACGAATATATAATAGTGCACTAAGAAATGTAATAACGATAGTAACAACAGCAACAACAACAATGATAATAACGATGATAATGATAAGTAATAATTGATGATAATAATAATGATAGATAATTGATAATGATTAATAATTAGTAATAATGATAATAATAATAATGACAATAATAACAATGATAGCAGTAATGATAATGATAAGAATGATGGGTGTTACTAATATTTTTTTGTTTTCATTATTATTATTATTAACATTGTCATTATCATTAACAGTGAAGTGATATTATTGTTGTTATTGCCATAATGATCATCATCATGAATAACGTTATCAATATTGTCATTATCATTATTGTTGTCAATATTATCATTATTCATTATTGTGTTATATAGAACTTTGGTCATTTCCATTTGGAAATGCAACCCACCATTTTGGGGGTGAATAAAAATTTTTAATAGCTATCGTTGTGTTTCGAACGAATCTAGCACTCATTTCCTTCGCAAACGAAACAGCTACATCAGTCCCGATAGCTGAGAAGGGCATTATAGGCCTACATATCAGGGAATTTCAAGAAATATCGGTAGAATACTAGTATATTAACACATTTCCGAGTTGTATAGAGGGCTGCGCCCCCGTAAACCCCTCTCAGGGAGCCCCCCCCCACCCCGCTTAGCCTACAAAATCTTAACCTCGTATGTTCCGGCAGGAGAGAGCCCAGACCCAGGAACAATTTGAACCACACCTTACCTTCAGCCTCAACTCCAGACGGGCTAGGCTGCGGGTCTCTGGGATCGTCGGGGTGTTCTACGTCGGGGTGTTCCACGTCGTTGTTAGCGGGAATTTGCGATCGCTTGCAGTAAAGTTACACTGCTTTCTTCTTTTTGCTTTTGGGACCCTTTTCCATGAACTACAAACCCACTGGTGTCTGTCATTTCTGTAATGACACGATGTCTTACAATGCGGGCATTGTACTTCACCTGGCAGTACACCGTGATCTCGTAAATTTAGTAAGCTTGCTTCGTTATTTCGGTGATATTTCGCGATGAAATCGAAATAACACTACACACTGTAGCCATGGAACTGATTTGAATTTCAAATGGCTTCTCCTAGGCCCAGCTTCTACTGTCACGTGATGATCTATTCCATATCTGATTGGTTCTATTGAATGTCTTTATTCACGTCACGTTCACGCACGAATCTAATTGGCTCATTTGATTTCCCGGGCATACGTCATCCGCTACAAATCCGTCCGATTTTCCTTCCCTCTTAACGACTTTTTGTCATTTTGTCTCGGCACTGGAGGCG